GGTGGCACGCTAATGAGAATCGCTGTCGGAAGGGAACCAGTATCGATTTAATTGATTCTTCTTCCAGCCCCGAGTCTCCTCCTCGGAATACTGTTTCGATTCGAGCCGACACGAGGAAGGAGAAAGTTTAATTCTTTGGGCGTTTTCATCGAATGAAAAGTGTCGAGTTTTGGAGACAAATTTTTAAAAAAAAAAAACGAATATTCGAGCAACTGGAATTATACCGAGTTATATCGAGACGAATATGAATTATTTAAAATCGCTTTCTATCCGCTCACTCTTTATTCATGCGGCACCGATTTGCCATTTTTTCCCTTTCTCTCTCTCTCTCTCTCTTTTTTCTACAAGTAAAATAAACTTTTCATCGTTAGTCAACCACAAATAACTCGACGCCTGTTTGTAACTGTTTTGCATATTCTAGCCCGTGACTAATAAATCTCCCCATTTCGTTACCCCGGCTATCGATTAATTCAACAAGCTTTGCAATTATCGTGCTTCCTTCGTCGATACGTAATTTTAGAATCGTTTCCACCGAACAAATTTTTTTTCTTTCCTTTTTTTTTATTTTTTTTTAAATTCACAAATTGATGAACGGTGTCGCGAACCTTCCCTTCCCTCCCCTCTCCTACGATGTTACATCATCGTCCGGAAAATAAATTGGTTATCGAGGATTCTCGCTGTGGCCGTGAATCGCGGCACCGGTTAATAGGCGGACGAAGTCGATAGGAAATGCAACTGGAAAATGCACTTTTCCGGAAAGATGGACGGAAATGAAATCGAAACGAAACGAGAATCCCTCCGATGCTTATACCACGTCCGTTTGATATCGGAGTGAAATCGAGCGCGATATGATCGAGAGAGAGAGAAACTTTCGAATTTTTCCTCCAAAGTTTTCCTTCATCGCAGGATAAAAAAGGACGAGGGATGAGACGTGGAACGATTAATAGGATGCAGGACCGCGAAATATTCGCGCTCAAGATTGTATTTATAATGGCGGGAAAAGAGGGAAAACTCGTTCGAGTGGCCGATTAATTTAAATATCGACCGTGGCAAAGATTCGTAGGGGAGAGAGACAAAGAGGAGAGTAAGCCGCTTCCGAGTTATGAATATTACCAGGGAACGTAAGCTTCCACTTGCTCCAACTCCCTCATCCCCCCCTCCTCCTCCATCCCCTTGATCCTCTTCTTCTTGTTTTCCTCCTCCTGCGGGAAAGGCATTGTCGTCTTCTCGAAACGCGACGATGCTGACAACTGCCACGGTTGATAAGTTAATGAGCTTGGCCCGGGAACGAACGAACGCCGAGAAGGAACGGCGCAAACCGCGTTCAACGGTTTCTCAAATATTTGCCACGAGCTCGAACGAAATTAATACCTGTCGGATTTGTCGTATTTTTATAACGTATATAAACATATATATTGTACAATATTTATATACGCGGCGATTCGTTAATTTAGCCACGTAACATAAATATAGAATTTTGAACAAAGAATATTGAAAAATATATTTGTGTGCAAAGATACGATATTTTTCGCGAGTCACGATCCCCAAAAAAATCCGCGATTATTTTTAAATTGAAAAATTGAAAATAAGTGGAAAATCAGAATCGAGATGAGATTTTTCGTATTTTCGTTATTTTTTCCGAGTTCAACGTTTCCCATTTTTATTCGGGAAGGGATGGAAAAGGGAAGGGGAATGTTTCGAAGAAAGGGGAACAATTCGAAGTATGCGTGATAATGGCACGCGTTACCACGTCGACCCTCGCCTTTTTCCCGACCCGTATAGGTTATCAAGATAATGTACGTCACAGAAATTGGTTATGAAATGTCGCGGCAATCTTTTCTCCCGTATTCGACACCGTGCGCACCCTTTTGAACAACGAATAAAAACAATGCGTCGATTTATACGTCGAGCTTAACGGTATTGCCACAGCGGATGTGATGAAATATTCTGAAAGAATGTCGCAAGATCGATTTTCACGCTTGATGAAAAGAACGAATAGTAATACGTCTCGTTCGAAAAAAATAAAAATAAATAAAAAAAAAATTTGAAAAATAAAATTGATAACGCGAGGATTCGATCAAAGTGACGCCTCTATAACTCTTCCTCTAATAAATATTCAAATTTCGAGGGGCAAACAAGCTTAAGACTATAAGCTGTAATCTCTTCTAGCCCTGATAACGATTTTGTTAAGTTTACCGTGCAAGTGGGGTACCGGAGGCAGCCGTTGGCGAGGCACGATTCGTTTATTAACCGTAATATAGGGGATGAGGGCGAGTTATGAAGCCGAGGCAAGTTTTAAATTCGAGAGGTGCATGTCTCAAAGTATGGCAGACTTTGATGAACGTTAGGGTACGCCATCTTGCTTGCTGTCGAACCGGAAGTATGCATATTAATGGTCGAGTTGACAGATTAATTTTCCCGTGAGTGGATATCGAGCAATCACGTTGCATAATAACACTTCACCGAGTTATCTCTGCTCCCATGTGGTTAAACAGAAACTGCCAAGAAGATCATCTTTTTTCATGAAAAATTATCGAGTAACTTTTTTTTTCCACTCGTGTGAAAAAAGTGAATTTTTTTCTTTTTTATCGCATCTCGAAAAAATTTCGAAACATTTATTTCATCTCGAACGAGAAGAAGAGACGCTGAGACGCTCTTTAGAAAGATTAAACGTATCGATTAATAACCGATAATGAAGCATCTCGTGGATATATACATATACATATACGTGTTCGATAACTTTGGATCACGTTGCGTGTACAGAAATACACTTATTGTTGATTGGGGAAACTGTCATTCACCGAGTATTTCGTGTGACTGACATGTACTGACAAGGTAAAGGGATACACTGAAATCGGCTGAATGTGAACGTTTGTGCCAGTCTCTGCTAATGGATCGACGCACTTCGAGAGAGATGATAAGTATCGTCCTATTCGTGCAAGAGTCTCGTATGTGTATCGACAGCCTTCATCCCTACACGAGTCGTTCTCTTAGACGTGTGCCATTGACGATTATCCTCTTATCTTCGGCTCATCGAGATTAAACTAGCGTAGCTTGCAAATACCCGTTTCGCCTACATTCCACAATCAGGCCATTCAATTTTAGCTCCATAACCATCGAGGCGTAACAAATATCGGGGTTAAATTTTCATCGAATCATTTCAGTTCAAGGGGATCGAAGGAATCGAAACCCTTCAAGACTTTTAACTCGATTGAAATATATTTTTTCTCTTCTTTTCTTTCCCTTTCTTTTCTTTCTCGTAACATTCTTTCGCAAAAAGTCGCGAGAATTTCAGTTGACACAACACGAAGACGAAGCGGAGGGTTTTAGGTGAATAAAGCTCGTCCAACTTCATCAAAGTTTTACGAGATGAAACACGAGTTCCATATCCAGTTTCCAGCCGCGCAGAATCCTATTCAAGCTGGTCGGTTGCCCGGAGCACGGAATGATTTAGAATTTATATGTGTAGGAATTACGGATAAAATGGCGTATTAGCGAGTAAAGTAAGAATTATCTAACTTGGACGAGAAAGGGAGGTATCAAGAAGTCGGCCATTGCTCCACTCATTCCTCCGATCCTCCTCTTAAATTATCCCTTTTCTCTTTTTCTTTTTTTTTTTTTTCTTCGTTTCCTCGGTGCACGATCAATCTTTCGAAACGAAACACAAAGAAATCGGAGGAGAAATCCGTATAGCTATAAGGAGGAGTTCGCGAATTCATCAAAGTATCCAAGCAAAATCTCTCAAGTCCTGGCCAACCCTTTGGTCCCCTGGATATGAAGATTAACGACTCCCAAGTTGCCGATTAAACACAGCCGGCCGATTTTCGAGGGAGGGGGGAGAAAGCCGCTTTTGTCTAACCGCGACGAAACAACGTTATCTCGATGCTTTAACGAAGCCAGCCGCAACCGTGATAACACCAGCGGTTGCTTGAAAACACGTATCGAAACCTTGCTCTCTCTCTCTCTCTCTCTCTCTCTCTTTCTCTCTCTCTTACTCTCTCACTCGAAACGACGCAGCATCATTGGATCCATACCGAGATAATGATGTATCCCTCGCTAACCGTCGCGATAAAGTAACCCGACGAAAGCTCGGGCTTTGCCGATACGAAGATTAACGAGGCCCCAGGATTTAAGCAAGTTTCCGCGAGGAATCCTGTTTTATGGATATCAAGCCTGATAAAATCGCGGCATCGCCTTCGGGGAAATGTGCATGTCGCGTGTCCCGCTCAGACACACACAGTTTTCCGGAGAGAGTTGAAACGGGATTTCGAAATTTTCTTTTTTTCTTTTTCTTTTTTCTTATTTTTTGGAATCTCTCCCTTTTTATTTTCGCGCTGATGATTTATGGCACGGAGAAGGATAAAGCTGTTTGGCAAACATTTGGGGCTAAGCATTTTCTCTCTCTCACTCTCTCTCTCTCTCTCTCTCTCTTCTCCGTCATTTAGAATCCTGTCTTTAAACTGCTACACGCGCTGCTTTCATGCCAAGTAACTCGAATCAATTCGTGGTAACGATGAAGATGAAGTCTGTCTTGGGTCGGTTGGATCGCTTGATTTTCTTTTTTTTTTTTCCGCGATAATAAACTTACGGGATACGTGAATATTTTTAGGATTTTTTATGCGATGCATGTCGCGTGTTTCATAGAAGAATCGCGTTGAAATACTTTAAAATCGTTATTTGAAAGATACATTAAAAAACGCGTAATCTCGAACTATACAATAATCATTATTATGCTTTAACTTTTATCTAATTAATTTCTCTACACATCTCTAAATAATAATCAAGATATTCAAAATTTTATTTTTCCAACGAATAAGTTATTCTTAACCTATTTCTCGTTATTCCTCTTGATTCTTCTCCATCATCCATCTTCCCCGTTCGAAAAATATAATCCTCCGATTATTATACGATTACGTTCAAAATTACACACGTATATTGACTCACGAAGGATGAGTAAACGTTTATTATCCGGTCATTGCTTTTTTTTTTCATTGTTGCAGGTCTGTTGTTTCATCGCAGCGTTCTAATGTCTGGGAGCGCGCTTTCACCGTGGGCGCTCGTGAGAGGAGCCGCAAATTACGCTCTGCAAGTTGCCAAACATCTAAATTGCTCGTGGGTGAGTATTGCCCGGAGTGCATTACATTAAGGTCCCCGGTTCGACGACAACTCCGAAGCAAATAAACCCCCGTCAGACATTCCCCGTGAGAGAAACAATTCTCCCTTCCCCTTTCTCTCTCTCTCTCTCTCTCTCTCTCTCTCTCTCTTTCTCTCTCTCTCTTTCTCTCTATCGTTTTTTTCCTTTCTACGTTACACGCGACGAGCAACCACGTTGTTTTTGAGGCTTTTAAAAAATCCTTTCGTTATGGAAGTAGGTTACCTCGGGAGAAATTATTATTTTAAAAGGAGATAACGTGGGATAAAGGCGAGAGAGAGAGAGAGAAAGAGACAGATCGAACAAATATTTTTCGGATGACTGAATAACTATTTATCGAATACGTCAATCCTGCGTTTTATTTTTTTTTTTTTTCCTTTTTTTTTATATAACCGGACGTGCGCATGAATTTTATACGTATTATATTTCCGTGAAATTTTTGACGAAAATCAATATTTAAACTTCAAAAGTTAACATCTGTGTAGGGATTTACGCGAGATAATGTTACAACAAATGATCCCGATACGCTCG